TTGATATCGCCGGGATGATAGAGATTTTTGGTGCTGCATTACTAGTTGAAACATTCGTGGGGTCTGGGATCACATTTCTTGTTGTAAGCCTTACAAGATCACTATGAGGTGAACCCCCATCTGCTCTTTGGTTATTTTTTGGAGCCTGGTGAGATTTTGTGTTCCTTGGTGATTTTTGAATTTGGAGCAGTCTCATCTTCTTAGAGCTCACGCCCTGAATCTGTCTCGGAGAGGAACCTTGTCTCTGCTTTAGCGGAGGCCTTCCTCTTTTCTTTTTCGGAGTTGGTTCAGGATTATTGGATGCATTTTTAATTAGGAACGGTACGTCAGGGGGTACTATGTCTCCCGTGACTTGTTCTTCTTGGAGAGACACATGGTTATGTATGTTCGTGTTTCCACCCATGGCTAGAATGCTTGCTGTTGTGTTCTCCATTAATCCATGTAATTCGCCTTCAAAGACACGTTGGTGTCGAGCCTCTTTCTCAACTAGATCATTAACACTACAATAGCGTATAGTGACATCTCTCAACTCTTCCATGATTGTTTTTGTTGTTTGTGCTGAAGGAGGGGGAGAAAAGCTTTCTAAGTCTAGATTTCTTTCCAAAGGAGGCCATCGGTTCCTTGGTGTTTCAACCCGTACCAGTGGGGTGCTTTCCGCCTCTGTTTCCTTTTCACGCCACAATAGGGCTGGGGCTTTTGTCGCTTGTTGTCTCCTTTGAGCAGGAAATTGGTGTCGTGTTTGTCGGGGAAAAGGACCTTAGTTGTTTGTGGTAGCCGGTGGTGTGGTCCTCCTGTAAGAGTGGGAGTCAGATGTGGTGTGTTGATGACGCTTATTTAGCTGGCGCTCAGCGTGAGGGGACATCAGCCTTCTCCAGTCCGAGGAAGATGAGTCCCTTATCGCTTGGTCCGAGATTCTTTCTCCAAAAGATCTCCCATGGCGATCAAGTCTCTCCTTGAAAGCTTGCTTTGTCGTGTTACCTCTGGGAGAAATATCAGTAGAGCTCTTGTGGGCTCCCTCCTATGTATGGGATTTTGTCTCATGTCTCTTTTGGTTTAAGGCTGACTTCTTGAAG